CAAACTCTGCCGTCGCGTGGCTGTCGCAGGGCAGAGTTTGTAACTGCAGTCTAGTCATCCACGGAGGGCCAGGCCCTTTTCCGAAAAGGAAAAGAAGAAACAAGAAGGAAAAAAAAAGATCGGGGCGTTGTATCTTTCCATGCTCTACAGAAAGATTCACTCTCGGTTTCCACGACTGATCTCCAAATGTGCAAAAAGAGAGTCAATCTTCCCCGGAACATGGAAAGATACAGCTTCATGATTTTTATTTTTTTTTGGAAGTCGCAGTTTGTATCATAGAAAATTGGAGAACTGAGGCCGGGAATCCCTCAACATCTCAACCCGGAATTCCTGGGGCCAATACCCAGTTTAGGCTTTACTGGAAACCGGGTCCAGTGTCCCATGTACGGCAACTTCAACCAAAAAGGAAAATCGCAGCTGGACTAACAAATTCCAAAACCAGAAATAAGAGAGGCAACCACTAAGCAAATTAACCAGTTATTCTGCTATTCTGGCTGGGAGCCTTACCCAGCTTCTCTTAAAGATATTACAGAAAAGAGGACAGTTCTCGGACTACCTCCAATGAAGAGACCTCGCTTACATTTGCAGGAGACCATAGCCTAATGTGGCTAGCCACGAAACAACAAATACCCAATGATCTAAAGCAAACTACAGAGTTCTATCTGGAGCAGGTGATTTGCAGAAATCCGAAGGAAGATCCAGCAAAACCAAAAGAGAGGCCCGTCGGACCAGCCAGGGTTGTCATGACGAGGTTTCCCACCTTGTACCCTTGAGACTCTGTAGGGAGTACCATATTCCAGGTATTCTAGATCTCAATGGGTACAGCTCCATGATTTTTGTCTTCTGTGCAACGGGAATACAGGGGCCCAGCGGGATACACGGGCTGACAAAAACGCAGAGGCCCTAGGGGAGACAAGTGCTGACAACAACCCAGTTTCTTTTTTTTTTTTTTTTCTCTTTTATTTCCTTTCTCAGATTTCTGGTGGTGCATCTTTCCATGTTGTAGCGGAAGATTCACTCTCGTTTTGTTTTTTTTTTTTTTCACTCTCGTTTTGCATGGCTCCACTACTCTCGAAATGTGCAAAACGAGAGAGAATCTTCCTGTAGAACATGGAAAGATACAGC